GGAAAAGGAAAAGTTTTTGAGTTTTTTCGAAAAAATTTTAAATACATTATAATCATATTTTATTAATTTCATTTATTTAATATTGATTCGTTCATTTTAAATTATATATTATTTCATCCTATGTGAATATTTACGGAGCTAATTCTTGAATCACATTATTAATGTCTTGAATCAAATTATTAATGTTTACATAATTTCTTTTTGAATTATTGAAGTTTTTGTTTGGCTTAATACCTTTCAAGAATTAAAAATTAGCAAAAAGTAGGAAGGGATAATTCGTGCTGTTGTTAGGGATTTATTTTTACAATCGTTGAAAGCAATTTAAATGCATGGAAGGTTAAATGACTGATAATTTCTCAAAATGGCTAATATCAAAACCAATAAAATATTATTACAAAGCTGATGATAGGTTTTCCAAATCATTCATCATTTGGTCAAGAATAAAAGTTGATAATCGATATTTAATTAGATGCAGGTTTTTAGATAAATCTTTAGTTTTTTAAATAAAATAAAACCTTTTCGAGATCAAGAAATATTTTTAGGAAAAATTGCAATAAAATGAATAATTTACTGCTAAATTATTATTTCACTTTATGAGCTCCGAAAAAGATTATTGCCTCAGTTGTATGCATTTTATTAAGAATATATGTTTAGGAAAGACATTTTGAAAATAAAGCATTATTTTTAAGCTTTTATACGCAAATTTCTTTTCCATAGCGGTAAGAACATATTCCATTTTTTTTTTAAATGCCTCGTAATTCCAGGACACCTAAATAGCATGTAATGGTTTAACTTACAGTTCGTTTTGTTTCATATTCTTTTTGTTTCAATGAATTTTTTCATTATATAAAACTTCTTATAGTCAAAAAAAGCAAAACGATATTTGGATGAAGGAGGAGAGAGTGAAGAAGAAATTTTCATTAAAGTATAAGCAAAGCTATTAGAATTTGGCATGAAATAATAGCAAACTGATAAATGAAATGGATAACGATGCGATTAAATAAATTCAAATGATATTTTTACGTCAACCTAAAATTTCGTTTTTTTCTTTTGTTTTTTTGTTTTGTTTTATGTTTTTCTTAGCTTAATTGTAGAAACTAATGATAATAGTTTGCAAATTTGAGTTAATGAGTAATGTTAAATTACATTGACAAATATTTTGAAAGACTTCAAGCAAACTTGGAATAGTCGAGAAAGGCTAAACGGTTAAAAACAAAAGTAGTATGGATGAGTTTTATAAAGTGTTTTGATGATGATGATAAAAACTGCTATACATATGCATCAAAATCAGAAAGCACTTCAACAGAGCTAATGATAATTATAAGACTGCTAGAAATCCTCTTGTTAGATTGTCAAGATTCTTGTCTTGCATATTCATATTCATGCCTAGTGTATTTATAATTTATTATAATAAACTTTACCGCATATGCAAATTAGAATTTATAGAATGCTACACTAGTAAATTAACATATGGTCGTATTATCTTTATTTAGCGGTTTATCATTGATTTCAATTCCTCTGAGGAAAATGTAATGAAATTACCGTTATTAGGATATGATGCTACGGAGATCCTACGATGTTGAAATATTAATGCATTGTGATTTAGTTTAGTGTAATACAGAAAGATTGTAAGCTTTTGAGATAAAATTTACTGAACATTAACAGTAACATACAATTTGGGCATGCAAAAAAAGAAGTGAATTTGAATTAAATTTAATGAATGAAGATCCTGAAAATATACTTTTCAAAATTAATGAAATGACTGAATCTGATGCAAATACATTTGAAATATGAACTAAACTTCATATTTCCCATATCATCACTTTCAAATCAGTGTTGATGAAGTAATTTAGATGATTTACATAATTAACAATTAGAATTAAACGATATCAATCTCTGTGAAAGAAAATATATGAATTTAAAACTGTATCTGAATTATTTGTTTTTTAAACATGATATGAAACAAGGAGAATATACTTCTAATTTCTTACACTGTGATACACGAGGTTCTTTTCATTAAGAAAATGATTCTTGATGAAGAAGTGATTCTTAGAAATTTGTTTCTTTTTTAACCGAAGCACTTATTTCCAATTTTATCTTGGCTAATTATTTTTCAGTTTCTTTACTACACTCGGCAATTAACGTTTAATGCATCACGTGTTGACTAAATGTTATTCAATTTAATAAAATGTTTTAAAGATTTAATAAAATGTATTAAATTTTATCTCTAGATTATATTTCACAACTTTTTGATGCTTTTAAGGATTGCAGTAGGCATGAGAAAATAGCATTACTATTCATTATTCTCACTAATCGGTAATTATTTATAATTTTAGCATTACTGAAAAGCTTTTTATGAAAAAAAAATTTCCCTTGATGAATTTCAATATTTCCCCTAGCTACTTATTTTATTCTGTTCTTTTTTAAAATTTGAATACAAATATTTACTTTATTGAAATTCATTTCTATTTCTTTTTATGCTTGTCGATTACTTTCTATTTCATCTACCTCCCAAACAATCTCATTCACCGGGCAGATACTACCTAAAGCAATATAATCAGGTAGCAAAAAAATCATTCAAAGAAAAATCAGTACTAAAGGTGATAATAATATTAAAGGTGAAAAAACTTTAACGTACCGCTTTTGTCGGAATGCAAGAATGTTGGAAATTAAAAATTTTTTGTGATTTACATATGCTAATTATTGCCATCTTTCTTCTTACTACATAAATTGAATATTATATATTAAGTTTGATATAATCTTTTCGGATTATTTAATTGAATCAGAAGTGTATTTTCTACCCCTTCTAATTTTCCCTCTCATAATTAATAGAAGTCAATGTTTTGAAGTTATATAAATTTATATTTGAAGAATGAAACAACGGCATTCTTCGTTATTGAAATAAGATAAATTAGATCGATAGGAAGAATAAAGCATTAGCCGAAAAAAAAATACTTCGGAAACTTCATGCTAGCATTATTACTTAAAAAGATTAAAAATCTATAATTAATTCAACAGTATATGCAACTATTTTACACATCTTTTGTTTCGTTTCTTTACTTTATTTCTTCATAATTCAAAATATTTTAAACCAAAAACTGGACTTTTTCAAACCATGGAATTTGAAAATTTTTATGAACATTCTTTAGAATTAACAAAAAAATCAAACGCAATTTTATCCACGATATATTTAAACAAATTAAACCTCTCAGCAAACTACTTCAACAAAGCTTTTGAAAATTTCATTCGAGCACATTGTTCTGTTCTATTTCCGATCTAACCATCCATATTTTTCATTGTAAATGCATGTAATTTTCTGAAATTACCCTGAACATTATTAATAATCCTTTCGTATCAGAGAATTTCATTTCAGCTCTTTCATTAAAACTTCAAAAAAACGAAAATTTCACTTATTTATTCATCGTTTATTTTTCCTTTACTATTTTTTTCCTCCCTTTTACAAACTACACAAACGAAACAAAAAAAAAAAACAACAACTTTTGATTGCTGCAGCATTTGAGGGACATGCATTTGAGTAAATGTGCATTTCATGAATTGCAGTATAACTTTCAGCTGCATCTGTTTCTAAGCAATAAATGAGTTGAAATAGAAAATTATAATTTTCCTCTCTTCTTTCAAGTATTCTCAATTACAGCAAAAGTAATGGAATTTGAGAGGTGAAAAAGTTTTCATTTTATAAACATAACTACTTATATTGATACTATTTTGCATGCATTTTGTAAAAAATCTGAAATTGATTTTTGAGATTAACCAATTTTTTTTTCTTTTTTAATCTTCCAAATTAATTGGATAAAAATTTTAATCTTTTAAAATTTTTCTCATGCTGTTTCAATAATTTTCATTTCAATTTGAAAAAATAAAATTTTTTTTTACTTTCTGGAATGAATAACTTCTTATAAATCAGTCTTAAAATGAAAGCTAAATATCATAATAGAACCTCAATATTTCGATTTTGATATTTCATCCATTCTTTCACTCTCTGCTTCAAATTTTGAACTTTTATTTACAAGCAAAAGAATTTTAGATGAAGTTTTAACGCTTCAGTGAGTGCATTTTTATTTTTAATACATGGAAGGATCGAAATTTTGACATTTTTTTGCTCTTACTAAAATTAAAAATTATGTTCATGGATTTTCAAACGTAAAAAGGGTTTAAATTTTAATTGGAAAATTCCTGTTTCACTAAAACGAAAAAAAAAAACTTGGTCTTTTGGTATAATAAATGAGATGACGTTGAAATACATCATCCAATGCGACATATTTTGTTTAAGGCATGGTATTTGGACCATTTTATTTATTTGAAATTTTGTTTTATTGTGCAATAATTTAAAATTTGTATAGAAAATTGATAACTATTTTTATCTATTTAATGTTTTTATAATTTATCTATTTTATCTATTTAACATCACCTGATAAAGCTGCTTATCATTTTCTGTTCCCTTCTTTGATATTACTTATTTAATTTTTTTTGCTATATTTTTAGCAGAATGAAAAGAAATGAAAATATATGCAGAGTATAATATCATTGGTACTTAAATTCATATATTACAATACCAGTATTGTAATATATGAATTTGCGAGTTCTCTTTTCTCTTATCTTATATTGAATCGAAATTAACAACTATTTCTACATCCTTTTACTTGTTCTAAAAAAAAGTTGAAAATCTTCTATCTTTTGCTACAGTAGTAAAAAAAAAAGGCATGATGATTTTGTCCAAAATTTTCTGTACATTCAACTTTTCTACAAACATCTGTTTATGATCGTAAAGCAGAAAAATAAAATGAAGTATTTTTTATTTTTAGAGATATTAAATCTATAACGAAATTTTCATACTCTATGAAAGCATATCAGGAAGGAATGCAAGATGATCAATAACGAATATCATTTCGAGTATCAATATCATCAACAACAGTCAAAGTTTGAATTTCAAAGATATGAAAAACTTATTGATCGTTATTTTTTATATGGTTATCAAGTTTATGGTTAGAGCAAGAATACAAGAACCAAATACATTATTTTTTTCACCATGCACATTTCCATCACCACTCTATGAACCTCTTCAGGTTAGTTCATTAGATTAGAAATTTAACAATAAATAAAACATATCAAAAAAACTACCTCTAAAATATGCAATAGTTAATTATGCCCATTATAATTATGCGAATGTTTTTATATACAACATTTCTTATCATGAATTATTTTCTTTGAAAATTTTAGTTAATTTAAAAGCATATTTTCTAATAAAAATTTAATTAATTTAAAATCGATGAATCAAAAATGGTTTAATTCAGTTTCGATCGCATTGTAATCTGATGCCTCATCTTCCGTTCATTTGTGATTTACATCAACAGCTTAGCAATTCAGGTTCCACAGTTATTCTAGAAGCATTTGAAAAATTGAGGTCAGTGCTGGTCAGAAATGATTCTTCGCATTCATTGGGTATACTCATTGGTGAGGTCATTTTCGTTACATTTTACCGTAATATTTTTGCTACTTTTAACAGGGTTAAGGAATGAAATTTTTTAGAAAAAATTGCAATTAATATTGGATTAACTAATATAATAATCAATAAATGAGAAGAAATTAATTCCTTATTCAAATTTATTAGCATGGAATATATATAAAATGTTTGCAATTATCTTTATTTAATTTCATTTTTCTATTTGTAAATGATGTTTTCCTTTCATCGGTGCAACATCAACATAATTTCATTTTGCAAGAAAAAGTTTTGGGATAAAAACTTGAATTAACGTTTAATTCAGGTTCTTTTTTGAATAATTGAACTGTTCAGTTTAGTGATGTTTGAGCTTGAATAAGTGCAATGTAGTAAATTTCAAATTTTAATAAAATATTGCCATCATGCTCCTAATGATGGCAATATTTTATTGAAATTTGAAATTTACTTCACTTCTAGTAAATCCTATCGGAACTGTTGCAAAATGCATTGTACACGCAGTAAAAGTAAGAAAGTTTGATAAGCTATAATTTTAAGTACGCCAATTAGCACCTCCAACAAGTTCATCGGTAGTGTACAGCAATAAACAGGAATACGGTTGCTTATTTGAAGATGATTGCATTCGTATGGATGCTGAGAAGATACAACAATTCGTAATTAGCGCTCGAACTTTTGTAAAGGTATTGTTTTTTTTTTTTTTTTGATAAGCAAGTTGAGATTGTATTGTACCAAATGTTCCAAAATACTTCAGATTGTAAATAATTTCATCAAAAATTTAAGAAAAAAACTAAAAATTTCATTTATACAATTTAGATTTATGTTACGACTTTGTATAAACGCTGGTTTCTTGAGGATACAACAAGCAATCAACCAAACATTCTTGCTGTAATCATTCTTGATGGCTTGGTGAACGATGTTCGAAAACTACCTTACGTAAAAATTTACACCGGTTTGTTAGTTTTTTTTTTTGAAATAAGCACTAGTTTTTTTTTTTTAGATAAACAAAGATAAATAAAAATATGCTCGACAATTTTGATATAAAACGACTTATACTATTTGAAATGTTTTTGCTTCAAAGATTAAGGAAGAATACGAAAAATATTATTTCGTGAAAAGGAAATTACTGTCATATCATTTGACAAACTAATAACTTTTTCTCTCTTTTACCTTATTAGTATACCTTATTCTATTATGGCTTTGTGGTTTTTTCTCTTTTTCTTTCTACTATGCTAGTATTTCATTTACTTTTCGATGAACCGAATTGATGGATTGTTGTGCTAACGGAAATATAGGTCTGTTCGACTGTCCCTAAACGATAGAATACATCTTGTCAACAATAATTTATTAACTTATTCAACTTTCTATGCAATTAATTTCCAGATGAATTCCGATTGCTTTCTTCAATGTTTAACATCCAGTCAGAATGTGTAAACAACATCCTTCAAGGTAATATCAGTGACATTTTAACAGAGAGTTTATTTAATTTTCAATTATCTCATTATTAGATGGATTGAATGAAAGGAAAATAGAAATAGACGAATTGGATATAATTATGCATAAACGTATAGTTACATCTCTTCCAATATTAAATATTAAATAACCAAAGTAATTTCAAGAACTGAAAATTTCAAAGAATCATTTTAAAAATAAACATGAAATTGAATCAATTTTTGGACAAAATGATTGCTATGATTGGCAATGATAAGAAGATGAGGATATAGGTTGGCCGTTGCATTTGGTAATTGCTGATCTAATCGAGCAACTCGGTCATTCACTACGGGAATTCTGCCTTTTGGATGGTGGTACCCGATTACATGTCGTGCCTACCTGGGCAATTCACATATTTCTCTTCTGTGCTGTCCTGTTTTTTTTTGCAATTTTCATGGAATGGTATATTGTCAGGCGAAAAATACCACATAAACGTTGTGTTACTGGCATTCAATTAAATGCTAGTAAAAGTAAAGCACATATTATTTTCTATTAATTGAATAAGACAACAATTCTGTTCAAAATTATTTATCACTGATTGTTTTTTTTTTTTTTTTGCATATCAAAACAATTTTTCTTGCTGTAACTCTTTATTTTTTTTCTGATGAAATACTAAATACTTGAATAATAAAAAGGTTTAAATAAAACTTTGTTCATATCTTGCACGTATCGAAAAAAAAAAATCAAAAATAAGTTTATGATATAAAAATATTTGTATAGTCAAAATATCTTTGGTACTTTGAAATTTATATTGTAGAAATCTTTTATATCAATTATTCGCAATCAAATTATCGAATATGATTTGTTTATTGTTTCAAGAATACTATTAAAAATTATTAACAACGAGATATTGTTCAATCATTTTTTTTTTTTCAGTGTACTATTTATTCTAAAAAGATACTGCAAATAATTTATAACCTACCATCTCATGTTTATTAGCTTCAAATGATTAGGAACTAAAGAAATGATCAAAGCATATCTCGTTCTTATTTATATCAGTTTCTTATGCAAAATGATTTCATGATCTTTTTTTTGTATCATTAGTTCCGTCTATAAATGACCTATTAACTGTATGTCATAAACAGCGCTCATTAAAGCCGTCCAACTCGAAAGAAGCTTACTTTAGTTTAATTTATTGTAGCGAAACGATTAATTATGCCCTTTTGAACCGCACTTCGACACAAATCTTTACTAATTCCTTATTCAAACTTTCAAACAATTACTTCAATCATCAACAATTAATAGAAAGTCTCTCCGTATTGTTCATAATTGTTATGTATTACCGTCAATTACCGACGATGAATAAACCGTTATAATAATTTTCGTCTGTAAACCAAGAAATTACTTAATCAAAAACTTTCACGACAACTGTTACGAAAGCGTTGTAGATTTGGTTGGTGTTGATTTACAAACAAATTACATGAAGATTTATGGTTGGAAATTTTATCCAATACATTCCACAGATGAAACGGCCTGAACAGATTGAATGGACAGCAGAATATATGATGGTAATGGCTTTGGTTTAATGCTTCATGTAAAGGTACATTTTTTTGTACCTGTAAATATGTTCACCCTTTTCCAGACACGATCAGTTACTTTCTTTCGTTATGTTTTTTCACTGCATTTCAACTTCGATTCATTGCTGATCAATATTGTCATTTTTTATCAATTCATAATTAAGTGTTTAAAGAGATGTAATGCCATCTTATTGGCTAATTAAAAGGGAAAAGATTTTTAAACGCGCCCTTCTTTGTCTAGTAAAGTGTAAATTTCTTTTTTGTAATTCTCGAGAAAAACAAGAAAATGATATTTCTGTTCTCCAAAAGATTTTCGTACGCTATTACTTGGAAACGCGTTTTGAGGAATACCTTTCGGTTGTACTGGAAAAGCCTAATGACGACTGGTCTAGAAGTTAAAAACTAAAAAAGTAGGTTAAAAAGCATGTTTTCGTCATTCGTCAAATCAGAATTACTAAA